ATTTCTTTGTATAAACAGTTATACAGATATTTTATAACTTTTTAGTTATATTAATACAACTGCCATTACAGATATCTTAATATAATTATTAAAAAAAATTACTGTAATATAAATATTACAGGTAATTATCTAAATTTTTATTGTTAATGCAATTTTAATACCCAATCTATCACTTGAAATTGACAACTTATTCACTTTACTAAGTTATCACATTTCAGAAAATTAATTTATAATTATTATATAATAATATTATATATAGTAATTTTTAATATAACAAATTATTAATATAATAAAAATAAAATAAAAACTTGATACAACAAATCAAAATAATAAAAAAATTATAAATATTATATAATTAACCTTTTACTTGATATATATTATATAAAAAAATTATTTACAATACTAAATAATTTTTTTAGTATATATTATAATTATAATAAAATAATATTGAATTATAATTATAATATATATTAGTAAATCAATTTAGTTAAATATAATTATAATAAGTTTATTAGGAATATAGGTTTTATAGCTTAGCGATTAAGCTTTCATATTCTTCACAATTAAGATTAATAGTTCAAGTTCAGCTAGAAACAAAATTGAAAGATTTTAGCTTTTGTAATCTAATAAGGAGTCTGTAATTGAATGTAAAGCTCTGTAGTTAAGTCCAAGTGCAGTATAATGATAAAAATAGAAATTCTTAGAAGAAGACCCAATTATGAAGTGTAAGCACTATGCATAACAAGTGATTGTTATAGAAGCTTATGTTTATAGAAAGATTGTATATATAAGTCCTTCAGACTAGAACAGTATTAACATCCTTATACCTTTTAATATAAGCAATACCAATATCCTTGCACCCAACTTGTAAGATACTTGCTTAAAAAAATAATAAATGAATTATGCAAACAAGTTTTAATTAGGACCTAAGAAAAAAATTTGATTGGGAGAGTAGTTTGAAAGTAACTAAAACTAAAATAATAAGAGAAGTAATGAATATAAGAATAAACTGTAGTAAAGGATTAGTCTAACCAAAAATTAGAAACACCTTTAACACAGCTAAATAATCTAATTATAGAAGGGAAAATCTTAGAAGTTGGTGTATAACTTTCTTATGTAGTATAAAAATACCAAATCAGATTCTGGTCATATCTATATAGAAATCTATAACAAACAAGACTAGAATTAACCAACCAATATAAGATAAGATCTACAAAATAGTATAGCATTACTGAGATTAGTGTAACTTTTTAGATATAACCAGAATTGTCTTACAAGTATTATTGAATAAGTTAAAAACTTACAATATATGATAATATAATATCACTAGTATCAAAGGAACTTTCTAGATATAACTAGAATTGTGTTATTTGTAAGTGTAATAAGTTTCAATCTCTACTATAAAAAAAAGCACTGTATTGAAGTTTAAATGCAATATCAAGTTAATGTATGATGTTAAGACCTGAAACATCTGCAAGAATGATAATAGCAGATCTGACTTAAGATACAAATTAGTTAAAAAGACTAATGGTTATAGCAGATCTAATTTGAGATACAGATTAATCAAAAAGACCAATGGCTGTAACAGATCTGATTTGAGATACAGATTCATTGCAGATCCTGAACCATTGTTAGAACACTTTAGAAAAATTAATAACAGGTATATTAAAGATGAAAGATTATAAGAATCAGATATATTCAAGTAGGACTAATTTGAGAATGATACAATAACAAAAAAGTAAGAAATATGAGAAACAAAAGAATACTAGATATAGTTAGATTAGGAGGCAGAAGAAACAAGACTAGGTAAAACATGTAAATGGAAATATAAATATAATTTACAGAAGACAGTACCCCTGACATTTGAATACTGTATTAAGTTTGGTAAATTTTCTTGTCTGTATAGCAGTTTAAGGTATGTTCTGACCACAAGTGATTGCCAAGGTAGCTGCATGTAAGCATGCAATGAACATGCACTTAGGTGCCATAAGGATAACTAGATGAAGTCAATGGTGTGAAATTAGATAACATATAGTATTAGTAATAATTGATTCTAAAATGTAACTATAAATTTGTACTATATCAAATTAAAGCTAATAAAACCAACTGACATTATCACCAAAGTTAAAAAAAAAATAAAGTAAATAAAAATAAGTTTATTATAAATGATCAGATAAAAGATTAGAATTTCTTACATTTTACTAATAAAGACTTATAAACTATTTAAATTTTTTAAAAAACCCTATTACTTGTATAGACTTAAAAAGTCTACTATTATGAAATATCTTTTATCTAACCATTTATAATACTTATTAACTCATAATAATGCTAATTAATAATACAAATTGACAAATAATAAAAATTTTTAATTGATTACTTGCCAACTAATTAATTTGTGATTATTAGTATGAACTGACAAAATTTTTCATTTGATTAGTTGGTTGGTTCAAAAAGATTTAATTGATAGTTGCCAACTATATCAACTACTTGATTAATTAATTTTTGATTTTGTATCACTAGTGCTAATTCTAGATTATTCTCTTGGTTTTCCAAACATTCATTATTTCAAGAGTTACTATGTATCAAATTTGTACCTGTACCATCTGAAAAAATATTGATATGTTCTAACTTTTCTTCAAAATTAATTCTGTAATTGCCTCATTTTTTATTTTCGTTTTTGAAAAGGAAAAAAAAGCAATAAATTTGTTAAAAGAGCAAACTGAAATTGTGTAATTGTCTTCATGTCGTCAATGTAATGTAATGGTATTACGAATATGAGTATATTTAATTTTATATCATGGTGATGTGAATTTATAACACGTGATCATCTAATCATATTAAATTTTATTGTATAGGGAATAGCATTATAGTGCTATAGCGATAAATTATAATATTCTTGATAAAAATAAAATTCAATATTGGCGAAAGTTTGTTCATCTAATTAGGATACTAAGTTTCAAAAACAACATAATTTTGTTTATATAATCAGTCTACTAAGTTTCAGAGACAGTATAATTATAATTCCATACGTAATTGAACATTCGGTGATGCTAGAGGTTGAACCGTGTAGATAGTTTATTAAATATCTAATAAATTACCGGATATTCAGGTAATTCAATAATTCCAGAGTAGAAATTTTTTCGACCCTGATAATGATTTGGTAGATTAGGTCACACTAAGCAAGGCGCACATGCGCGTCATTTTAAAAAAGTCAGGTTAAGAAAATCGACACTGCTTTAGGAATAATGAATCAGGCGTACCCCAATAACGCGCGGATGGGCGTTATTTCACATTTATAAGGTAATTACTATTGTTACTAGACATAGAAATGAAGTTTAAACTTTATATATTAATCTATAAAAACCGGTTATCAAACTATATCTATACGAACACTGCCAAAGAAAGCCAGATATTGGGTCTTTTAAACTTTAGTATTATTATTTTTGGTCCAGTCTTTGAAAATCTTATGTACGCACGTACTTATTTAAACAATAGTGATCACAAACGTCTTTTTTGTAAGGCAAATAAAAAACAATACGTAAAAAGGTACTACGTACGTATAATTTTATCATTTTTTGAAAATATCCAATGTTGTATGGTCAGTATTTTTTGTACGCATATTAGATTCAAATTTCCGTTCAATTTCTTACAGTTTTCATTTTGCATATACTAATTATAGCACTGGATAACGTTATTGCTTATCGCCAACAATTTATTGATACGTAGGCTTCAAATATTAATAATACGTATTCAATTGTCCCTAGTGGCATAATTTCATTTATACCGTAGCAAGCCTAGAAATTTTTTCTACGATGGGATTTAATTTAAAAATGAAAGAATTTTTATTTGTACACTGAGTATATAAACGGATATTATTTCTCAAAATTTTTATTAATAAAAAGATTTCTTGCAAATTTTTAGTATAAACCATGCCTTACTTAAGCTTTAAAACTAATATTAAGCGTGTTAACCTTTGTTAATGAAACCATATATTACATGAATGTGCAAATCATTAATTAATATCCTTTGTTGAAATATTCTAAACTACTGATGTTGTCGCGATCTATGTTTAACAAATGGCAATTTTTGCCGATAGGACTATAATAAAAGAATTTCTTTGGTTGTCATTTAGAGCTAAAACTTTATGAAATATGATGATTTACAAAACAAAACCAAACTACGTATGAGAATGGCCGTGAATTCCAAATTTATCTAGTGCATAATCACATGCTAAAAGCAAATTCTGGCGCAGGATATAAACATTCAAGTTTGTTTTGTTAAAATGCAGGGTTTTATTCACTTCCAAACCAGTTTGAGTAAGTTTTAATATAGTACTCCAGTTTAATCTCCAGTTTAGCAGCTGGTTTAAATATTATATTTAATACATTTTATAATTCATTTCAGTCTTACTTAGGTTCAGAATTGTATATAGTCAAAATAAAGTCATTTTGTATGACCAGTGTTAAATCGATACTAACTACGTATATATTCAATTTTAGTCATTTCATTCGTGATAATGATCCAATAAGCTAAGGTTATTTAGGATTACCAAAATAGTTTAAATAAAGAAATAATGATTTAAAAATGATAACCAGTCGATTCTTAGACTTTATTCCCACTCTTTCAATTCGTTATCATTTTTGGTCCTATTAAATGATGCCATCCAAAGTTATGAAAATATTCTCTGCGTAAAATTATAAAAATATTTGTAAGTCATGAAGTTTCGTAAAGGCTTGCCCGTATTTTATCGTTACATTTAATCGGAATGTCATACAATAGTTCCGATTAATCATGTTTATTCACGTTTACTACGTGGTTGCATTTTATAAGGTTACAAATAATTCTTTCGGAAACATCTTTTGTCCATCAATATAAAACTCTCGTTTCCATCGAAGGTGCGAAATAATTTCCAAACCATTATTCGATAGGAGATTTTTAATAACGAAATCTAATTTGTATAATTTTTCTTAAAAAAAAGTTCCAAAAAACAACGTTTTACGATGGGTTCATATGATGATTATATGAATTCAAAATTTGATCCCCAAAAAATCACCATCGCACAGCTGCGTGAAATATTAGATACGCATAATGTACATTACACTGGTGGAGAAAGGAAGGCGGATCTAATAAGGAAATTCAATAAGCATATTCGACCACTTATACCATCTTTGCGAGAAAAGAAATCTCTAGCTTCAAAACTAAGCAACGACCCATTTCTTTCACATGTATCGAAAGATTTCTTAAATTTTATCTTTAATTTTAAATTCTTTTATAATAATTGAATTCAAACATTTCCATTGTATGTTATAGTCAGTTTATTTATCGCCATGTAGATTGTCAATTATTCATGTCGTAATTTTTGCAATGTTATTTTCATTTGGATTTGCAATCATATATAATGACGAGTTTTCGAATATTTCTACCAATTACGATAAAGTACCAAGAGTAAGACTCTATGATGCATGGTCTTAAGAAAATTTACTGCATTATATTAATTTAACGTTACAAATTTTTTTTTCTAGATTAATTGGTTTCCTTGCCCATCTAATGCGTATTGCTCAAACGATAAGATTATCTCGTGTGATAAAGGTTTCGTATTGGTATCATCTTCGATTCCCTGGCTCAAACCTTTCACCAGTAGATGTATACTTGATAATAGTCTTGCGCGAAGGGTTAAAAAGTATACTGAACTGCTTAAAGATATCGCTGCCAAAGAAACTGGAAGAATTGTATGCGAAACGGGTCTTCATGAACATTTATCATTTCAGAATCTTCTTATTCAACTTCGTAACCAGAAATTAGTAAATATGGTAACTTATTAAGTTTAGTTAAGGGAACGTACACATCAAATGTCAAATTCTTATAATTATTATGATCTCAATTACTCTATGAAAATTAATATATTGGGTGTTAAAGCGTTATATAAACTATTTGATGTGATTATGAATGACACTAATGATCAATGTAACTAACAACTTAATTGTTATTAAACATCATTTCAGGATACAGATCAAGATTTTGAATTGATCACTCGAATTGCATTGGAACACTTGAAATTCGATGACAACGTTGAAGTTATCTATAAAAAAGAGTGAATGTCAAATTTATACATTTTTAACTCGTAATACGAACTATAGTTTTATTAATTCGAAATTTATTTATTTTTAGTTTTGCTCATAAAACTAACATCTATATTATCTCAAAGTATCCAAACAATTTTTTGGTCTGTCAACTTAGAGCCTATCTTACCAATAAAATCAATTTCTGCAAAGTTAAGGTACAAGAGATCACCCAGCAAATTATTGGTATAAACTTTTTAAGCTTTTCAATATTTGTTTAAAATTTAAATAATTTATTATGTAATCTTAAATATATTTCAGGAATTGTACTTACTTTTTCAGGAATTGTAATTACTTTAATACGTGTATTTATCGCTCATTTTTTGAGCATACTTACTTTAACATTTATAGTTTATGTTGTGGGAAAACTGGTAAATAAAACTTTAAATGAACAAATAAATGATAAATTTTATATATATGTTAATGCTAAACGTCGAAACAAAATAGATCTATACAAAAATAACATCAGAGACTGTCCCTGAAATTAAAGAAACTGAAATGACAATATTGCCAACTTACAACTTAGAATATCTTTGGGTCAAGAATTATTTTCACCAAGGGCTTCCAAATCGCACTATTCTTGGAATATTTAAATTGGAAATGCCAACTGAGCTTGTTAACGCTCATAAATCGTATAAAAGACGTAATTTTCATAATAGTATACATAGGATGTTCCATGGCACTAGATCTCTTTGCAATCCCCAACGGTTTATCAAAAATTCACAAGCTAAATTTTGCAAGAATGGATGTGGTGTATGTGGAATCGCCCAAGAAGGTAACAGAATTATGTATGCCAAAGCAGTATATTCAAGATACAATCAGCGCAGTAAGTAATCTCTCAACTTTTTGCATATCACATTATTTAGTTTTAAAGTTAATACATTTCATTCTCTTTATAAGGAATGTGGTTTGCCAATAGTTCAAGTACGTCATATTCCTATTGCAATACCTCTGGATATTATTATGGATCCAATACGAATGCGAACGCCATGTTTGTTGTTGATGTTGTTGCTTCTGTGTTTGGTGGTTCAGTAATAACAGTTGATTGTGACGCGGTATACATTCCATAAGTGATCTTTATTAGTTGTTATCTTGTATATTATCACTTTTTTAATATAACAAATCTTATTGCATTTAAATTCAGGCAACTATTCCAAAATATCTTATCATTTTTAAATGAATAGTATATATACATGAATTGGTGTCAGGGTCAATTAATATATAAATTTCGAAATTTCATTCTTTGGAGACGAAAGATATTAAGCTATTTATTATATCCTTACCATTGTAATTCTGAAGATTAAATTACAGATTCTTTAATTACTATATCTTTCCGTAAATAAGCACTTTTTTAAAAAATTTGGCAGTATTACTTGTCTATCACTGTGAATTATATATTTAATAAATAATAATGAACTTTAATTTATAACTTGTTAGTGTTAGAGTTTATGAATCATTTGTTCGTTTATCTATTGGATATCCAATATTTAATAACGAATAAATGACCCAATTATCGAATACATTATTCTAATCATTTTAGATACTTTTTTATTTTATCTTAATCCTTTGACAACTTAATTTTCTGCAGGGATCCCTAAGTCTAAAATTTTATAGTTGTTAGACGAAACATCGAGATTTTACGTTACAACTTTGGGAAAAATTTTTGAAAAAGAGAAACTGGAAGACGAGCGAAATTATCGAAACTACTAAAATTGATGAATGGTTGTAAAAATTGGTAAAAAGTAGTAAAAAGCATACAAAGGCACCAAAACTAAAATAAATGAATATTTACTACCGAAATTAATTATTTAACTTATAAAAGTAATTGATTCTCTATTCAAAGTTGCTGCTCTAGAAATTTTTTATTCTTATAGTGAATTTGTTATATAATAGAATCTCTTGAAGGATTTTTTTAAATAACGTCAGAGTAGAAACTTTATTACATATATATAGAAACAAAAAGTTCTAAAATTAAAGATTTCTACCTACATTTGTGCTACGAAAGGGCACCCAATGTGATATTACACCTAGTGCTCCGAACGGGTCGGTTCGGGTCGGGGTATAGGCCAATCCGAACCCGACCCGAAATTTCGGTTCGGGTCGGGTTAAAAACTTTCGGGTTAGAGCTTCAACCCGA